TTATAACTTATCGTTAAAGAGTCGTTGTTATATTAACATAATCCCTTTTGCCCGCATTATTAAAGTACCTGTTTTGGCAATGAATAAATTTCACTTTAAACGCCAGATATTTGTTCCTTAAACAAAAGAGAAAAAAACCAGAATAATAGGTCAGCGAGAAATAGTTAAATTTTCACTTAAATCTAAACATTCTTTAACTTATGTATTTAGTTTGATTTTAACTTCCCAATGTTAAATATCACATTAACAGAAAATATTAAAAAAAATTGATTACAGATTTTGTTTAAAGACTGCATAGTGTTAAAAGTATTTGAAATAAATTATATTTTTAATTATTGCTTAATTTGTGTTCCATCAGCAACATAAACAATTAACATATTATTTCCGGAATTGTGATGTGTCTAAATTCGATAAGCATTTTTTCCATTTTTTTTATGAAGGTACGATTTTATATCACAGTTTATTATTATATTATGGCTTCCAGAAGGAATATTTCTCAGATATGATAAAAGATCCCTTTTAGCCATTAAAAATATATGTATGGGTCATATATTTCAGTAAGTCTCAAGGCTGACCATCAGACAACGCCTGTTCAAAATATATGATTCTGAGAAAGTGGCATTTTATAAGCTATACTTGTCAAAATTTCATAACATTTTTACCAGTAATTATTGAGCGTCGTTACTTCTGGTATTAACAAAGCAATGCAATTATTAAAAATAGTATATATGTATATGGGTGCGTAATGAAAAATCGGTAAACAAAGCTGAAAAGGTCAAAATACATTCTGCAAATCGCTGTTTAATGGAAACAATATCGAACCTATTTTAAAGTTTATAATTTTCTTGAGGAAGGCACAGGATGACCTACCTCGAATTCTAAGAAGTAGGCAAATTGTAATACCCCTAACTTTATGGTGAAAAGTAGATATTGTTGTATTATAAACGGGATGCTCCTCAAACAGCAAAACTGATGTTAAAGACATGATACTAGTGAAATTATAATCTACTATTGCCAGACTAAACAATTGAATCAAATTTCTATTTCTAAAAGCTATTTTTTAAGTTGAAAGGAAAAAAATTTGAATATAAGTGATTAGAATCAATCAACAAGAAACAAACACATACCTGCTTGTGTAGTCTCTTTCGAGAACGGCAATTCGTCCTCGAATTCGATGAGTGACCCATTTGTTTTCTGGCACTAATGCACACACAAATTTGTGTTCATCGGTCTTTGGACCTCTCCCTTTAAAGTTGGTTGACTTTAATTTAAATTCAATCCACCCCCAATGTATTTTTAATTCTAAACAATTTCCTCCCAATTTTGTTCCCTTTTACAATTTTGTTTCCTAATGATAATGCTACACCGACATTCGCTCATTTCTTTTCTAATCTACCAAAAACTGTATAGTTTTGTTTTTGTATCATTAGATTATCAAATGCTCCGATCATAACAATACTGTCTAAATAACGTTAATAAAATTTTCCTCAAAAGAGGATTGAGATATATCTGAGTCTGTCATAGATGAAACTACGGAATTGTACAATAGGGGAGTAATAATTATAGTCAATAATAAATGGTTGAGAAAATTAACCATTATGTCTAACGCATCTTGCCCAGCCCAATGTTTAAATATATTTGATATAATTTCGATTATATAGCATTCTATTACTACCATACTATTTTAAAAAATAAATAATAATTATATATAAATATATTTTATTTCAGGCCCGTCAACGTGCTTCCGTAAAATGGCTTCTTTCAAAAGCTTTCAACAATCAGACTCCAGATAACCTTAAAGAACCTTTCTATAGAGATCATGAAAATCAAGAACGACTTAAGCCACAAATCATTGTTGAGCTTGGCAATGCTACCCTGTATTGTCAAGCGTTGTCTAATTTGTATTCAGATCCAAATTACCAAAGCTTAAACCATTGGTCGATTTTGCAAACTTTGTCACGGAAAGGAGTTCCAGTGGCAGAATCTCCAGATATGCCAATAACAGAAACAGTTCTGATACAAACAAATCCATTAAAAATTGTAAGTATATAGTGACTTATTTATATGATTTACTTTAGATTAAGTTATATTAATTGACAAAAAAAATTGAAAAACAAAAAAAATTTATTATAGAATGCCCATATGTCTGTGATAGAAGCACTTATGATTTTATATGTGAAAGAATGCACATCCGGAGAAAGAATATTAAATGCAATTCGAAGGTATGTATTCTATAATGATATGCACATACATATACAATAATTAAACTCAATAAAATTATTCACTTTAGAGTATCTGGTAGCAATCCAAATATACAGGAACAAACATTTGAAAAATCTTTGCTATTATGGATTTCGCATGTTTGTGCAGCACTGAAAAAACGCATAGATAAGGAAATAGAAGGTGGTGCAGTCGACGAAAATGTATGTAATCCTTACAATTTTTAAATATGATTCTATTAAATAAATTTTAAATGTAGGGAGTTCGTTTGCAGTCACCAAATATTCCGCCAGTGCAAAATTTTCAAGACCTTTGTAATGGCATTTGTTTGGCACTACTAATTTCCTATTATTGTCCCAAAGTAGTTCCGTGGACTTGTGTACGTATTAATCATTTGCCAGCTGTAGAGGATTCGATATATAATGTATTGATAGTCAGTAATTTTTCTCAAACCCATTTGCCATATACAGTTTTTCATATGAAACCAGAAGATATCACTTATATGAGAGGGTAAATTTAGTTTAATATTTATTAAAATAGTTAAATATTAATTGGTTTTTTATATATACTTACAGTTCAATGAAAACAAATCTTTTAGTATTGTTAGCAGATCTTTTTAATTTGTTTGAAATTCATCCAGCAAAGTGCGTTTGCTATCCCAGCATGGATTCTCCTGGTAAGTCATATATACATATATTTAATTATAGCAAAAAAATTTTATATATAAGTAATGTAGTTCAAATATGTATTGCATATTAAGTTTTTTTAGTTTTTATTTTAATTATTTGCGTAATTCTCAATTCTTAATTTATTTATTTTAACCAAGTAGAATCAATTAAAGTATTTTTAATTGCTAATTTCTTTCAATCACTATCATTTCTAAACACCAGACTTAAGTCCTACTATAGGTTCTTGATTATTTCAACCTATTTTGTTCATCCATAGATGTTTTAAAAATTCAAAGAAATATATCAATATATTTTACTTTGTTCTATATTTGAATAATTCCACATGCTACGTCTAATTATTTTGTATTATTGAACTAATTTGTATCTCTGTCTTCATATTCCTCGACATTTATGAAAGTGCTGATGTACTAAAAAGGTTTTCTGTTTTATTTATTTTATACTGTATTTCCTAACATTTTTCAGTTGTTATCTGGTAGTTTGTTAAATAAATTTTGATATCTAAGATAATGTATATATTGTATTTTATTAGAGCCCACTTTAGGTTTGAAAGTGAAATAGTTGCTTATCCAAATATAGTTACAATGATATAAGAGAAAAAGAAACAAAATTGGATGTTTATAATTATTTATAGATCTTAATATTATTAAATATCGTTGATAAAGTTTATGTGTATATGAAATGACATTTTTATTAACTTTATTTGCTTTATATATTTATCTGATTTTATGTAAAAATTTGCCAACATTTTGAAGATTATTTGACTTCACTTTTAAAGCAGGATCTTACAAAAACTATTAATAATTTTTGAATAACAGCTTTTTATGGTATAACAATACTTTATAATATTAAAGTTTTTATACATACTTCGCCAAATCGCTTTATAGTAAAGTCAAGACTTTCTATATATATTTACTTGTCATTCAATTTTTGTCTTCTTTTTTAAACTGCTATAATTTTTCATTTTTACCTAACACACAATCTCTTTTTTATAATAAACAAAAGTTGAAATTTACTACAGTTTTTATAAAAAAAAATCAGATAAATTCATAATTTAGTCCGTACATGAAATAAAATGGACCTGCTTTTGATCTAAATCAAAATTTTGTTATTCTGCGCTAGTATTATCACTAAGTATATATATTACTGCTCCAAATATTATTTGAACTATTCAAAACCTCAGGATTTGTGAATTTTGAAAAGCTCTGATAAATTTTTGAATGCTCACACTATAACGAACATTTATATTATGCGATCTAAATGTTCAATTTCGTAATGCTCAAACACTTTGAAGTACAAGTATATAGTATATTTATTATCACTTATAACTAATTGTAAATAAGATATAGAAAATCATAGTGATCCATTTTGGAATTAATTTATTGTAATATGTTTTAATAAAATACTACACAATTTACAACAATATGGCTGTTAAGCGGCTATTTGCAAATCGGAAATAAATGGTATAATTAATGTTCATCTGAGTATAAGGTTACATTTAAAATGATTAATAATATATGTAAATACATTTAAAATAAAAAAAAAATATCTCTATAGGTAAATTAGTCAAAGTCAAATTAGTTAAAACTTTAACAAAAAAGTTTAAGATAGTTGTTAAATAAATTATTTAATTAGTTACGATCTAATTTGAAATAGAAAAGATAACAATAACCTGACAAAGAAAGTCTGAGTTAGATGTTAAATAAATAAATAAATAATCTGTGAATGCAATAAAACTCTACAATTTTTTCCATTAAAACTGTTAGATTAATTGCCAATAATATAATTTTTAATATGAAAGAAATTATATTTTTTTCTTTTTTAAAATTGAATTCTTATTATAGGACATACATATTTTTAGTTTCTTATATATGTTATTGTGTAAATAAATGAAGCTTTTTTACATTTAAAAAATATGTTTTTAATTGTTGTTTTTTAAAACGAATTAGACCCAATTTGAATCCATAAAGTAATAATATATGAGCTTCCTTACTTCTGAAAAAATTTAAAAAAGATTTTTAGTTGTTATTTTTTTTTTTTTTTTGAGATATAATTTATATTAAAAATATAACAATAGCATATACTATATAATAATATATTTTAACGCATTGTTTTTATGTTTTTAATTCTTGTTTTGTGATATTATAATAAATCTTGTAGAAGAACAATAGAAAACTGTATAAGCTTTGTAATATTCAAATTCAATTACTTTAAAAATTATATATAAAATATTTTCTTTTCTTTTTTTTTTTTTTTAAAAAATGCTTACATAAAAAACAATAAATTTGCATATGCAATTTTTAAACACAAATAAATGAACTTACAATTGTAATCACTATGAAAACTAAATTAAAATTCAACACAACTCAACTCAACACTTCACATCGTAACTCACCACAACTTTGTCTATCACAACACATTTGCAGAAATTATCGCAAAACGAAATGTTGGAGTAAATGAGCATGGAATTTGTCATCGTCGGGGTCTTACAATGCAAGCAGTTAAACCAATTCCAGATTTACGAAGTGATTTAGACATCTTTTCCAGCTCGCCAACGAATCGACCCCCGTTTCAAGGTCCTTAAAAATACTAATTTAATCTTTCTTTCTGTTTTAAAAGACTTTCATTTTGATTCTATAATAATCAAATGTTACATTTTAGTTGTTTTTTTTTTTTCATTATTTTTTTATTTTATCGTTTGTTGCCTGTTTGCCATTTGTTCTTTGATAATTGTTCTGCATTGTTTCTTAAGCATAGTATGAAAGCTTGTTTACTGTTCCGAATTTAAAATATATTTGCACTTCAACCTTTTTAAACTTGTAACCCTTCAAATAACTAAAAATTAAAACAAATATATTTTATTAATGTGTGCTAAAAAGTCATTCATTATAATAGAATTATCATTAACCCATTTGCATTTGTTTTATTCGTGAGACTCCATTCGTCCATTCACTGTTATGAAATATCTTCCTACACATTTTTTGTTTGTTGCACACTTCAACTAATTAAACAATAATACAAATATTAGTAATGATTGAATTGTCCTTAATATGTTTTTATATTTCTTGTTAAATTTATATTTATATAGTTTATAAAATTAAATTTTCTATTTAAATGTTTAGTAGGACGGCTATGTTATATGATGTGTGAAGGAATGTTAAATAGTTATTACTAGCTCAAGAAATTCGATGAAATATGCCGCGATATAGTTCCAACCATTTGTGAAATCGTTTAAGTAACTCGTAGATATTCAATTTGAAATATATTTTGAAAATAACTATTGCACAATCAGATTTGATTCAATAGATAATACAGACCCTAACCTCACAGTTAATATTCTTTCTGACAAACGAAAATACGTATATCTTCACTGAGAATACTGTGTCAGAAATTCTGTTGTTGTAGTAAACCGCTGAGACCTGTAAGCAGATGACATGAAAGGGTTTGCAAGAGGATAACATAGGTGGGAAAGTGGGTGGTTAGTGGTTGGGGTGATGGAGGGGGAATGTGATGGGATAGAATCAGAATTTCTCGTCTCTTTCTGGTCAACATCAGAGCCGGATCATCACAAATATATGTGATTAGAAGTTTCATATCGTTTCAAACACAATCAACATTTTGACACTTTAGACAACACCATCTTGTTAAAATGTATACGCAGACTAAGATTTTTCTTATTAAGTAAAGGGCTAATACCTTCTACTATACATATAGTAATGATCTTATCAATTAGTATGCTGTTATGTATTGGCTAGTAAAATCATAAATAAAGTTTCTGAATGTAAAGACATCAAAAATTGTCAGCAAAATTGTTTATATCAAGGCAGAAATTGAAATTGTATTTATACAGAATAAAATAGTAGATATTTTTATATTTCAGTAAAATACACTAACAAGAAAGTAAAGTTGAAGCACAAAGAAACAAAAGACATAAAAAATGCTTTTTACTAGCACTAAATACAAAAAAAAAAGGATTTCGCAAAACATTTCTATAGTAAAAAGATACTGTTTTTAGTGATAGTGTTTTTAGTGTTCGACAAAACAATTCACATTGTTCTGCAAAGAAGTAAGACATATTTAAAATTAAAACTAGTTTTATGTTACATAATATCCTATCAGTTGAAATAATGAAACTATATTTTTTTTTATATTCATATATTTATGAAATGCTGCGCGATCTAATGTTTCATTTTTAATGTTAAACAATGTATAGTTAATATAGTTTCGTAAGCGATAAAACTAAAACTGACTGTATAAAAATGTTATATATTTTTATTGTTGTCATGAAGATCCTCCTCGTTGTATCGATGAGTGACTTCGAAACAGCCACGGCCTTTCACATTTATTTATTGTATTTTAATAATTGTATAATAATAAAATAAAAATTCTTTATAAAAGTTATCTCATAATTGAAAAAATTTAATTTAAAATATGGCTATATTTTATATATAGCTATATATTTCTACTATATAAAACTTCTATGAACTACGATTAATATGGTCTTTCGACAGTGTCAAAATTAAAATCATTTCTTGTTTCTCAACTGCTTTTTTTTGCTAAGACTATGTAAGTATATATACTCTGTTAAAACACAAAGTTTTATAAATAGATATAAAAATAGAAAGACGTAGATTTATATCCTTTTTGCAAACAGTTATTCGTTTAACAGTCAATATTAAATTTCGCTGATAGCTAGTACAATTCATTAAAACATTAAATCGTTAAATCGTTAATAGAGGAAAAAAACTAGAAAATTGTCTTGCTTAGAAAATATAATAAATCCTCCATTAGAAGATAACTCTTTATACGTTAAACATATTTAATACAGCTAGTTTAAATCTTAATGATGTTTATGTTTATAATTTTTATTATTATTATTATTGAAACTAAAAAATCTAATTTAAATATGAGTCAGAAATCTAAATTAAAGCAATTATATTTTTGCACATTTTCTATGCATTCAATTATTTTTTAAAAAAATAAAAATAAAAATATTAGATGCTTTGTATGTCATGTATGAAGAGTAAATATAATCATTTTATTTACTCAAGTAACAAAAATAATTTTTCCACAAATGTTCCCATTTAAGTTTTTTTGTTTTATGTTATTTAAACAAAGAATTATAATTTTCTTTTCTTTTTGTTATTTTGTTTTTTATTTATAGTTACTCGTCTTACTTCGGATAATAATAATTTCACAAATAGGGTTATATCAAGAACTGATTTTCGTATGACTGATATAGCAACAAATAATTTAGACAAGAATCAGAGTGAAGGTAGTTATTATTTATTATTTAATTATATTCTTATCATTTGCTTATTTATCTATATATTTTAAAAATATAATTTTTTGTATTATTCAATTTTTTTAAAATTATCTAAAAAATTCTTATTAGGGCTTCGAACTAGAAACATTTTCGTCTCGATTCAATAAAAAAATATATATACCGGTTCAGTTTCGAATGATTATATTTTATATATTATTGTATTACATTAAAGTCATTCTTTTAAAAAAACATCGTTTACAAATTAAACAATTTAAAAAACAAACTTTAACGCTTTAAGCATAGATAGTATTAACGTTTATTTCGCGCGAAAAATTTTTTGCAACTAAATTTGTAATGTGTTCATAATTTTAAAAACGATTTATAAAATTATTCGAAATACACAAATTACAATTACAAAAACACATATGAACTTATATATTTAGTGATGTCTTTAAACAAGATACACCAAATCACACACATATATCTAATTTATTTACTGCCTTTTTTTGTAGAAATTTTTAGTTTTCATAACAATAAAAACTAAAGTGAACAGATGTTGCTATCAGTTTGCACATATGTTTTATTTCTAGAAATATCACGAATTATTTACAATATTTAACTTTTGAAAAAAAAAATTTTTTATGGAGTTTTAAGTCAATTTTTCGTGCGAAATCTTTGTTAGTACTAAGCATTATACGTAAAAACTGTTTTGTTTTTGAATTTTTTAACTTTCATTTGCGAACGTTTAAACGGAATCAGGAATGCGATATAAATCCTTAAAGTATTTTTTCGGTTTGATTTTCGGCTTTTTACTCAGGTTCGATTTTTCTCGGTTTGCGGTCCAGTGCTGGTTCTGGTTCAAAGCTCTAATTTTTACTATAAAAAAATAATCTTCATTTATTCATTCTTATGTAAACCTCTCAATTTTTTAATTTATCCAAATTTATTAAATATTTATATATGTATTTTATATACCATCAACATGTATATCATTCCAATTTGGCGTTTCAAATTTGCAGCCTTTGTCGTGCACAAATCTCGTGGCATTACAACACTTTCATCATTGCACTCGCAACACATGCAAGAGGAACCATTAGTTCCTGCACGCTTGCGTCCAAATAAAGAAAAAACAAACATGGAAACAAAAGCCGATGAAATAGGTTTGCATTATGTTATTTAAAATATGTAGAATTACTTTATTATTTTTTATAGTTTACCCTAATCATAGTTAAATAAATACATTTCTTCAAAATATAATAAAATTAGAAATTTAAATTTTTTTACTATAATATTTTTAGTATATTAATAATTAAAAAATATATATTTTTTAATTCTAAAATAACATAATTTAAGTTGTAAATTATGATATGCATTATTTTTATACAATTTATTTTTTATTTTGCTTTTATTTATATTGTGGCACTTAATAATTAATTTGTTATGCAAATGTTTGTGCGATAACTTATTCTCGCATTATTGTTTGGCATTTATATCAGGCGATTATGTACCAGCTGGAAGACCCAGTAATTGGGAACAAAACCGACGGCCCAGTTATGCAGGTAATGTATATATAAATAGAAGTTTAAAAAAAATTATTTTTGAAGTAAGCATGTTTTAACTTAATAATAATTTTAAGGTTGCATAAAATTAAAAACACTTTCTACTTTATTTTTTATTGATTTTGATAAAATTATTAACTATAATATATATCTAATAAATGTCAACACTTAAATATTTCTTTAAACATATTTTGTACTAAATAGGACGACGTTCGCGCAGAAATTCTTCAAGTGAAGATTCTCAACTAACAATTGAAAATTTTGGTGGTTCCCAAGACCAACTTAATATGGCTGGACGTTATGATCGTGAAAGGGACAGAGAAAGGAAATTATCTAATGCCAGTGTTGGTAAGTATTAAACTTTAAAATAATATAAATTTGTGTACTAAAAATCTAAACAACTTTTTATGTGTTGCTCTAGAACCTGCTGTAGCTGTGCGCTCCTCTATAGCGGATGCACGAGGAACTCTGCAAATAGGCTATGACACTGATTCAGGCTCTGAAAAGCAAGATCGTGAAACAGAAAAATACTCGATGAGACGCCAAGGAAGGTAAGCATCATTGAATAAAAGTTTTATTAAGTCGACATTGACGGGATCTGCAACTATGTATGGTTTAGAGAAATTTTCATTTAAAAGAACACACTTTATAAGATTGTATGAAAAGTGGGAACTAGCAATATTGCATTAAAAATCGATTTTGTTTATTTTTTTTATAAATATTAACTTTAACCTCGAGCGTTAATTTTTTGATGCTTTTACCTTTCATCAGAAGAATTCCTAATATTCACTACATTGCTAAGACAGACCGTTGGTTTAACAGAGTTTTAATTGAGTTACTTAATAATAATAGAGTTACGAATAATGAACGTAAAAAGCTATTAATTTTTATTTTATTTTGTTTTTATAATCGTGTTTAATTGATTTCTTAGCGGTTGAATTATACAATAAGAAGTCAAATTAGATTTTGTATAGAAGTCTAACACACTTTGAAATATTAGGAGAACATTTTACAAAAAACAATTATATAATATAACTAAAAAGCTTTATTTCTTATTAGTGTTGACAACGTTACACTATCAATGGCAAATATGCAATTAAATAATACATCACAAACTGAAGGTGCTTTACAGGAGCCACAAAAGCATTCCATATACAAAGACTTCGGAGAAAAACTGAGTAAATTTGATGATACAGTACAAAAGCCTTCCTATAACGATATGCCTGGAAAGACAAATTTATGGCAGTCTAATCATAATGGTAAGATATTATATTCACAAAACGATGGGTAAAAGAGTCTAAAAAAAATTTTTTTTGTACTAAAAGATCCAGAAGAGGAAGATATGCGATCATTAGAGAATGCTTCAAAACTTTCTAATATTCGTGTTAAACTGGAAGAAAAACGTAGACGTATTGAGCAAGAGAAACGAAAAATTGAGTTGGCACTGCAACGTCATCAAGAAAAAGTGAGTAGAACTATAATATAAGTTATATTAATATAATAGAATTCCTTATATATGAATATAATATAAATTACACAAAATTATAATATTATTTGAATGTGTAATTATTCACATATTTGTGACAAAAAATAAAAATCACATATAAAGATGTCTTAGCATATTTCCCATTTTTTTTTTGACTTTATTTGATTCATGAAAAATAATAAAAGTAGTGTAAAAACTTGATTATAACCTTTAACTTAACTTAATATTTGTATGAACGTTAAAATGATAAAAATTAAAACAAAATGTTTGGTTTTTAATTAATTTAATATTCCGCCCTGACATTTACTAAAGTAATTAAATCAGAAATTGGTAATGTTTTCATTACAAGTGGATTGTAATGAATTGTTTTCGTACATAGTTTTTGCATTTGCATAAAATACTTGTAAAAAAGAACAATCTGTTTGTGTGCTCCTCAACTCGATAAAAACTCCACTTAAATATTTATATAACGCATTAAAAGGAACAAACAAATGTAAAACAAATAAAAAACAATAACAGCAATTTCTGAAGAAGATATCCGTATAATATTTACAGCTTCGGAACGAAATTAAAAATTTTACTATTATGTTTTATAATTCATTTTTTTCACTTTCATACAAGCTTAAATTTGAAACCAATTAATATTAAAAACATTTTAATTTGATTAATTGAATTCTTTCAATACTAATTAATATCGGTTATTACAAGAGTAATTTAAAATTCATATACTATTTTAATAAATACTTTTAAATAAACAAAATAATATTTGATATTGCATATAGTAATAATATTTACTCCATTTTTATTCCACAATCATCAACTTAATAACTTCATGCTATTACGCTAAAATATTTTTGATACTTTACATCTTATTCATTGTTAAAGTTATTCATTGTTGAAGGATCTGATTTGATTTATCATATATATTGTCTGAGTATTCATAATCATATATTTCCACCCACAAAATTGTGACTATTTCTTTTATATTTTTATATGAACTGAACATATTTCAATTATATTGGTTCAATATCATAATCTCATACAATTGAAAGTGGTTTTGGGTTTCTATTCAATAAATATTAAATAATATTGAAAAATTTAGTTTTATTTAAAATCTATACCGTTTTGAAATTTGAAAACAAATACATCCCATCCTCTATTTGTTTAGAATGAAATATAAAAAACCTCTATACAATGAGTTATGTTAGCTTTAAATAAGAACAGAAAATTAACGCTTGAAATAAAAGTTAATATTCTTAAAAACCGAATTTAACAGAATATCTATTTCTGTAATTTCAATGTTAAAAATCCTTAACATTATTTTATTACAGTATGTAAAGTGAAAGAATGCTGACTAATAGCATTAAAAAAAGAAAAATAATAAAGTATAATATCACAATAAATTTTTAATAGGCAACGTCTGTATAAATATTTTAATTTAAAGAAAAAAAACGATGTGGATAATAATTATTAAAGTAAATATATTATTATTGTACCTAAAAAGTGCATTTAAAAAATGTTATGGCACCAAAGCAATACTGTATTATTTCGTTTTATTTAAAACGAATTCGAGTTTTATTATTGGCATATTAAAAATATTTAGTTCCATAAAAAAAATAAATGTTTTAAATTTTTTCCAAATCACATTTCTCAATAATTTTATTGAATACAGAATATGTATATATATGAAATTATTATGCCTTGATTTATTTATTTTGTTTTATATTTCGTGTATACATTTTTAATTTTTTACATTACTAGGATGATTTAGAATCCAATACAGATTTATTAAAATGGGAAACTTTAAGTAATGAATCAAAATGTACGCCAGATAGAGATCCAGTAGATATGGAAAAATATCAGGTGAATATTGAATTATTGCAAAGCTTAGCGTTAACATTTATAAAAGCGCAATAAATTACAAAAGCAACTGATAAAAATTTTATTTTAATTAATAATAATGTAATATAAAAGTGATCAAACATTTGTAATAATTTATATATTACTTAACTTAAGTTCCATTAATTAAATATATATTTTTTAAAAATATTACCAAGCAGTTGCATTTGTAACTATTCTTTAAATTGTTGCTTTTGCATTCGCGTAAGCTATTAACTAAAATATGGTTTTCTATGCTTTACTAACCGTTGAAATTCAAATATATGTGTTGTATGTAAAGCGTATGTTACCAAAAATTTATTATTTTTTGAAATAATACTTAATAAATCTAAATAAATTTCTTTGTTGTTACGCACATGAACACACAAAAATACACAAAATACAAATTTATATACAAATATAACAAAAATCAATAACAGCAAAGCATCGCTATTATGAATATGAATCTACATGATATCCAACAAGATATCCAAAGACTTGCTACTCAGCAGAATCAAATTCATGCGCAGCATCTGCATGCTCAGCAGTTGATACATGCTCAACATATTGCAAATATGTTAAATCAGGTAATAAAATTAGTATTTTTGATCAATATATTACAGGGAACTATAATTTTAATATTAAATCACTATTTTTAGAGAAATTTCGTTTAAATAATTTTAATAAAATTGCATACTTTATTGAAATATTTAAACTAAAGCAGAAATTTTTTGAAATTGTTTGGAATCCGTTTCGTATTATATTATTAAAATGATCATCAAACGATTTTATTGTGTAAAATAAGATTTCAAATAGGTCTACGAATACATATATCATTTGAATCATTACTACTTATTCTAAATACATTACTTGTTGTGGTACTATGTTCTTTATATATGCACATATTTTCCTTTTTCATGTACACTCATTTCAGTTCCCATTAAATACACTTTGCATGTCCTTCAATCTTAACAGTATTCATATAAAACAATCATTTTTCTTTAATATTTTCCCTATTCACATGCTATCCTAGTTTATTGTCATTAAGTTAAATATTTAACTAATTCATGGTGTTAGTATATTTTTGATTTAATTTCATGTTTAATATTTATCAGTTAAACAACAGTTGTTATACTATTATTAATCCTTAAAAGTAATAATTATAGAGCTTCAAATATTATTCGAGCTATTTAAAGCTTCGAGCATTAAGATTTTCGAATATGCTGGTGTTCGAGCATTAAGATTTTCGAATATGCTAATGTTCGAGCATTTATTTAGTCACAGCGAAACACTCGACAATGTTCGAAAGGTTTCAAGAAGGACCTTGTCTACGTCCCAGAGCGAGCCACTCGTGGAATTTGACGACCTAGTGCCATTCAGCACACTTAAAAAGGGACTACACAAGTAAATCCCTGTGGATTACAACAACAACAACAAGAATAATAATGTTTAAACATAAAAATTTCCGTGAAGCCATATGTGCAATTGTTGTTTCCGTTGGGGATTAGTCGTCTGTGTAGATAAATGGTGCCAAGACCTAAACTTTTTCGTTCTTGGCACCCACTCATCTCTTATTCTACCTAACTGTTCTATATTATTGACACGCCTTGTCATCCTTTTTGTAGCTGATTTTGATTTGATTGGCTACTATAACCACAACGATGTTGGAACACCTTATAATGCCGAGAATAATGGTCTATTCACACTGCGAAGTTATTTTAATTTTGATTTTAATGTTGTTTAATTCGGTTGAAAGAAAGATTAAAATTCGATTCCATATAAATTCCATATTTAAAATTACGATTGAATTTTAATTTGTTCAAAAGTTCGTAATACATAATTCTGCAGCGATATTGTAATTCTCTGGAACTAAAGAAAAGGAAAATAAAAAATTGTTGCAATGTTCGATAGTTTCATTACCGATCGCAAAAACAAACAGAGCTGTGTGATTAAGCTATACCATAAAATGAAAAAATAGAATATCAGCTATATGATATGATATGCTGTATTTTCATTTACCAATGATGTGATTACACTAAAGTATTTCGATTCTAATGTTCGAATTTAAATATTTATGTCAGTATGAAGCTCGAAAACTTTGAAGCATTATTAATTACTAACTGAATTATCAAAAAAAAAATTCTTGAAATTATCAATACAAATTCAAAAAAGTTGTTTATTAATATGCTATAAAAGATTCTTGCGTAGCTTTCATCTATTAATGTTCATAATTAATACATATTTAGTATTTACGTATCTAAATTAATTTTTTCTTTAATTTACTATTCATATTTTATATATAATAGCAGCAAAACTATGGTTCTCAGCAGCACCTCGCAGATCCATTCCAACATCGATCCATGCAACAACAACAGAATTTTGGTTCGACACCACATTTACCACAGGTATATAATCCTTCCGTAAGCAACTATAGCTCTCGACCACCAAGTCGTGATCCATATCAACAAATGCCACCTATGCCAGTGCAATATATAAATGAGCATGGTCAATATATGTCACCAAAGCAACAACCGCATATGTTACAGCAACAACATTACATGCAGCCGCAAACAATTTACAGTGATAATGCTATGCAATATAATAATCAGCATTTTGGTGGTTCACAATATGCACCAATGCCAACACAATACATCAATCGCACAGTTGGTCATGACGATTACGCTCAAATGCACAATCGTGAACAAAAAATGCATCCTAATAATATGTATATGCACGATACATCAATTCATCCGCCACCTACACAACGTCGTACTTGGGCACATCCATCTTATGAACAACATCAACAACCAATGGTTGATGTTTCCGCATGGAATATGCAAAAGGATGCTGTAGTAAATGATGGTTATTCAACATGGGGTAAACAAACGTCCTTAAATTTAAACAATCAGCCAAATTACTCAATGCATCAAAATGGTAATAGTTGTAATGACTATCAAGTGTTTCCAGTGCATTCTTCTCCACAACATTCGCAGCACAGTTCGAACAATAGTGTGCAACGTCAGCTATCGGTAACAAGTATGCGTGACAATAGACCTACAAATATGATGCCCAAAACTGTTTACGATTTGGAAAGCGAAAGTAATGATGACATAATGGCGCCACAAAGTATCTGCTTTATAGGAGATGAAGAAGATGTGGAGGAAATAGAACGTAATATAATTGAATCAATGCAAGGAACACGCTTATCTGATTATGCCAGTCAACAGCATGATATACTCAGTGGTCGTGGTAGTAGTTCAGAAAACTATGACAGTAATGAAATGATTCCGCAAAAAATGAACATCACCAGCGGTAATCTAACGTATCGTATACCTTCACCTTCACGACCATCGTTAAATGCAAATAGTTTTCAAGTATGTAAAATTTAAATGGTCAATAATTTTATATTAACTAAATGTTTCTAAACTTATAGGATCCCCGTGAAGGACAAACGAACGAAAAAGGATTTTATATATCTTTCGATGATGATCAGCCGAAGCGACCAAAACCTCCATTACGTGCGAAACGTTCGCCTAAAAAGGATAAAAGTTTTGACAGTGTTGACCATAAGTTAATTACAAAACGTGAATCGCTGAGTCAACTACATAACATAAACAATGAAGAGCGTAACGGAGAGGCAACTTTAAAACGTCACAGCATCTCGAGTCAAGTCAATAATAGTGGTGGAATTTTCGAAAATAATAATGCTACGTACAATAAATACACAGATACACCAATAAATCTACATCAGCTTAACAAATCAGTAGAAAATTCTAATAACTACTCAATGCCAGATAGACGAAATAAAGATGATATGAATGCACAAACGCCGTTACCTCAAAGAAGGACATCACCACAACCGACAAGTCCGACAAGAAATCTGCAACGTAGTGAATCAAAAAATAAAGCTCTTCTAATCGGTACTGATGTAACAGACTTAGATCCTGTAAGTTTGTTAAATTTGCATTAAAATATTTATCTTTAATTTATTGTTAAAAATCGCCTAAAAATTATTTATAGGACTCAGTAGATGAAATGGAACGCCGTAAAGAGAAAATTATGTTGCTCTCTTTACAACGACGCCAGCAACAAGAAGAAGCTAAAGCGCGAAAGGAAATTGAAGCAGCACAAAAACGAGAAAGAGAACGAGAAAAGGATGAAGTACGTGCGCGAAAGAAAGAAGAGCAAGTGGCTAGACGTGCAGCTATATTAGAACAACACCGATTGAAAAAAGCTATTGAAGAAGCTGAGCGAGAAGTATGTACAAAAATTAGTGCTTTAAAGTATAAGTATTCAAGCATTACGATATTCGGGTAGAGTTCGAAAATACTTGAAATGTTCGAAATGTTCGAACAGCTAAATCTGCTTCATATTAATTTTATTATGCTTTCGTTTTATGCAACTACGTATAACAGCAAATGTTTAAAGACAATGTGATATTCGAACATTTTCGAGCGAATCTAATATCAAAATGCTGGAAACTTAGAACACCTCAAATAATACTTAAAACTTAGTGTTTTAAAATATATTATTCCTCAATTAACTTATAAATATTTTTTAGGGTAAAACACTTGATCGCTCTGATCTAAATATAAAGCAACAGTCACAAAGTGCTTCAGCGCCAAGACTGAGACAACAGAGAGTTGTGCGACCGCGTCCTAAAACGATACACGTTGATGATGGTTCAGTAGATTTAAGCGAAGCTTCAAGTATTTCTAGTCGTGGCAAAAAAGGTTCAAGCACCAACTTAACAGGTAATCATACATATTATATATATATTCACATAAATTTTTTTTCTTGGTAACACATTTGCAATTATTATGAAAATAAATTTTTTAAAAAAATATTATTTTTTAAATATACTATTTGTATTTTATTGTTTGTTACCATTTTTATTTAATTATGTTTTTTTTTTATTATTATTAAAACAAAATTAAGGTTATGGTCAGTTAGGCAGTAATTCCATGAGGCGGGATTATTACAGAGGCTCACAAGATTCCTTAACTGTTAAAGGTAATTTTTTTTATAATTTATTTAATTTTATTTGGATTTTTAGGTTTTTGTTTTCGAAGTGATGGTAATAATTTTTTTATATTTATTTATATTATGAGCACTGAAAATAAATTTGGATAAGGGTAACAACCACTTTTACTAATAACATAAAAGTATTAAGCAAATTAAGAGTTTTTTTTTCATAAAATCAGTACAATAATATATTTATATAGTATGTATATATGTATATATATAGTATGCTCCTTATATATTTTTTTTTCATGTATTTCTAATACAAACATGACAATATAAATATTAATAGAAAAAATAGTAACAGAATACTATAAAATAAGACAGAAAAGTCTTGTCATATTTATATTTAGTATAATGTATAGTAAAATGTACCAATTAAATAGATTAGTTTTATTTAAATTCATAGATGGTAATGTGTAACATGTAACATTATAAAAATGTGTAACATTATAAAATTGTTGATAATCAAAAGTCTTAAAATTTTCAAACGTCCTATCAAACATTAAAAATATTAATATTGATAATAATATATATGTACTATAACAAAGATAATTAAATTTATTATTGATATTGAAATGTTCTCCACTCTCTCCAAAGAATCTATAACATTATTAATTCTATGTTAAATTTGCTTTTAAAATCAATTATGACGAAAGAAATTATTTTCTTAATAGAAACTATTTTTAATAGAGCTAAAGGTATTTTATAGAGTAGTGATTTACAATAACAAAATTTTATTATATTTAATTAATTGAATTTTTGGCTAACCATACAGCTAATTTGAATATTACCAAATACCCATCATCAGTGGTCTTTTTGGATATAATATTAATATATTTAATTATTCGTAAATAATTTTTTGGAACTATAAGTAGCATATGGTTAGAATCACTTTTAATTACCCAACTGTCCCAAAACCTTACTTGACTTGTATGTTTTAACTTGGAGTTTTGTTAATTTGCCGTTAAAGTTTATTAACACTTTCACTTATTGTGTTATATTAGAACTAGCTATAAAATAATAGAATTAATTAATTGTAGTTATTATTGATTGTTTATATTTATTAATTGAATTTATGTATTATGATTTATATTTAAGTGTATTATTTTGATTATTTTAACAAGATTGTATACACAATTATATTTTAAATTTACTTTCATAAATGTTTATATTGTAAAGAGTATTTAAAACATAGTTTATAGTCACATCAAAACTAACAAATAATTATTTAACAGAATCACCGGATGAATATCTCAGCACAAGTTCAACGCCTATCGGAAGAAAGGGATCCTATAAAACATCAAGAGGTTGGTGTTGGGTTTAACTTCTATTATTTGTGAATAATTTGCTTTATTTATTAATTTGCAAATTTCTTATTTGTTAATTTCTGATATTTACTAAAATTTTTACATATAAATTTTGATTTTATTGTGCTATGCTTTTGCACATAACCTACTAAAGTGCATTATTAAAACTAACTTGATATATAAAATAAAACTCTGAAGAACCCCTTAACTAAAAACTTTATTTGAAAAGTTTTTAACATTGGTACATAATATTATGTATCAATAAGTTATTTATGTATATATATATATGTAAATAGAGGTACTACAAAAAAAAAAGATAAAATAGGTGAAAAAAGTTTCGAATAAGCTAAATAATTATTTTTGCTTTTAATAAATTTTATATTTTCTGAAGGCCTACTTTAGTATATCAAACTTACTTTTAATACACTCATACCATATTATATATATGCCATTATTATATATGAGGCAAAATAAATGGTGAAGGGATTTGAATATTTTTTATCATATATTTACCAGTGTATTTCTAAAACAATCCAAAATTTTTGACTTCATGGTCATTTTCCAGAGCCAACTGCTGAAAGAGGTCGCACTTTATCACGTATATCAGTAGCTAAAGGAAGTACATTAAATTTCCGAGGCCGAAAATCGAATTCACTTATGAATTTGTGCGGTAAGACTTGCATTAAAAGATTTTTAAAAATTATATATAATATATGCCAAGTCAAAAATAATTGTATATATTATTTTTTTAACCATGGGTTTGGAGGTTGTCGTTCTTTTGTGTTTTTTATTAATATTTAATAAACTGTTTTGCTTTTTACAATCATTTTTCTACGGTGTTATGGTTTCATATTTTAGTTTTTATATATATCTAAAATTTTTCATTAAAACTTTTATTCATTGCGTCCAATTTGATTTAATGTATTGTGTTTTTATTGATTTCGTTGTTTTCAATCTAAAGATTTATGTTTAAATGTTTAATTCTTTACTGTACATTTTGTTCGCATGGTGAACAATTTTCTATACAAAATTTGTACCTAGGTACACACTTTTGATTAATGCATTTTATTCAAAATGTAACTGTTCACTTATAAGTATAGTTTAATTTATATTTACAAAAAAATGAAGTTCTTTTTAATAATATATTTTAAACATTTTCTGGATTCTTTAAAAAAAGAAAAAACAATAATAAACTAAAAAATATATGTATAATTTATAAAAGAGATAATTAATATGCATAATAAAAAAATTTAAATAATAATATTGAAGCAAGTATTCTTATCAAAATGTTTAGAAATGCCAAAAAAAAAACTATTTTTTTTACATATCATCACGTAATAAACGCAGTTTTGTACTTGGCCTACCGTCGTACTATCTTTATTCAATCTAAATTTATACATGTGATCTTTCCCCTATCGTTTTAAAGAGTTGCTAATACATATGGTTGTGGTAAATTTAGTGTAATAGTTTTGTCATAAAATCTTTTACAGTGTATTTGTTTTCTTCCAATAATTCTTCCTTTAAAAATTTACATATAACAAAAGTATATATATAATCACAGATATTTGGCCATTATTTCATTTTCACAAATATTTGTCATAAAAAAAAATTCACTTGTGAATAACTGAAATTATAGAAATTTGGCACATGGACGGACTATGCTTTCAAATAAATTACCTATAATAAAAATTTAATATGATATTAATTTTTGTTTGCCTTTTCTGATTTCATTTATTAATTTTATTTCTTGGTTTTAATGGAAAAATGTAAAATACTTTTGAAGGATAAAATATAATTGATTTATATCAATACATAATTTTTTTCTCTTTATTTTCAAACATTTAAACATCAATATAACAAAATTATGTGTACGCTTCACCCAAAAATTTTCTGCATTTTTAAAACAATATTGCCGCTCGCACCGATCGCATTGCTCTTGTTTTTATTGTTTGACCCAATGATTATACACTTTGGCTAGATACAGATTCTGGATTGGGCAGAGCAACACCACCGAGGCGGGCACCATCGCCTGGCATGTTGTCTGGAAGACATATGCCATCACCGTCTGGTCCCGGATCATTACCACCAGGTTTGATATCTAAACGTCGTATTTTTGATGATGGATCAAGTGATATATCACCAACAAATAATTCAATGATGGAATATTCGGGTTTGTATTTGCATTTATACTACACATTCAATTTAAATCGAATTCAAAACATTAAGCACGAATTGATTTTTTTTTGTAAATTTTTGGTTTAGAATTACTTGATTGTTTATCATATTTTCAAAAATTCCACACAAATCGTTATCATTGTCTTATATTACTTATTACTTTATGTAAAAACATTTCATTTTCAACATTTATTTTGACAAAATACGTAAATGTAATAATAGCCAAAATGTCACTTAATAGAATTTTTAAATGGGTCAATATATTCTATATATCCACTAAATGATAACTAAATTGAATTTACGTTATGTGAAATACCCTTTATTAACATACAAATAAAGAAATGAAGTTTGAAAAAAAAATGGGATTATTTTCTTTGGCCACTACACAACAACTTTCATTTTTCATACTGTTCTCCCAATGAAGAACTGTAGGTGATCCTTTGTTAAAGTACTAACTTGACGGTTTGATGTTAACGTAGCGTAGTTCCTATGTTTTCACGATAGTTATATTATACAATCTCATCTCCATTGCGTGGCTTATTGCCTTTAATATCAACCATCTATCAAAATAGCGCACAGTATATTTAATATACACATACTCAACATGATTTGTTAAAACTTTATTAGTTTATTCGTTGAAATTTAAAACATAATGGATATTTACAATATCGAGTTACAAGCTATTTAACGCAGTAAAATGATAAATAATATAGCTTGTACTATATAACTAGCTTACCACGGTCGTTACTGGAGATCTTGAAAACCCCTGTTTATATTAGTTTTAAAATATTGAATTAACTGATATTACCTACCTATCTTCTTCTCTTCTAATATGTTAAAACAATAAAACAAATTTGTTTTATTTTTAATACATTAAAAAAACTGCCCAATATATGAGGCGTAGTAAAAAGAAATCTATTATTTTTCCAATAGATTGCTTTGGTTATCTGTATCTCACGTTGTATAAGTCCGATCGGTAATTGGTACTTGACTCAGTTGACTCAATTTTGTTTGAGCGTGCCTCAAAGATGGACATTAGCAAAGAGAAAATACGCAATATTTTAGTTTTTCTTTTTCAAAGAGCTAAAGGTTGCACAAAAAACCATTTGAATAATACTGGATACAAAAAGAAGCTCGATATATGAGCTCGATAACGCAAAAAAACCTCACTGCTAAATCACAACCCATATCTGCAGCGGTTGGTGGCTAGTAATGAAAAGTGGTGACTGATTTTTACGACAACTCAAGCGGAAACGGTGGCCCAGTCAGAATTGACGGCTAGGAAGGTTTGGCTCTGTGTTTGGTAGGATTGGCAGGGAATCATCTACTATGAGCTACTCCCCTACGGCTCCCCTACAACTCTTAACTCAAAACTGTACTATCAACAATTGGAAGAATAAAAGAAGTAATCGCCGAGAAACGGCCTGTTTTGGACTATAGGAGAGAAATTGTGTTCCATCAGGGCAACGGCAGGCCACAAACATCGATAATGACTCGCCAAACGCTCCGGGAGCTTGATTGAAAAGTTTTTAATTATCCACCTTATAGTCAAGACCTAGCACCAAGTAATTATCATCTGTTGTTTTTCATGGCGAACGATTTTTCTGGTGATAAATTCGCTTCAAGAGAAGCTTGTGAAAATGAACTATCTCCAATAGGGACGATAACTTCTATGAGTGAGATATAATGAAATTATCTTCAAAATGGCAATAAGTTACCGAAAAAACGGCGCATATTTGACCTAAATCGGATGATTCTAACTATGTTAAATAATCCTTTAATTTCATGTAAAAATAAGGGATTTCTTTTTACTACACCTATTATATAGAATATGGATTTCTTTTCAAATTACGGACTATTTAAAAAATGATATAATAATAAATAATTATTTCTAATCATGATGTGTAGTAAAAAAGACGTATTAGCTATAAAATGATCTGCGTTAAAATGGTATTTCTTAAAGAATATACATTTCTAGTGTAATTACCCTTCCCTCAGGTAGCTTCTAATTAAATACCAAAAAAGTATTAGCAATAAAATAATCAACTTTACGAGGATATTTCTCAGGAAATAAATATTTCTCGTGTAATAAATCTCCGGTTATTAACAAAAAAAAATTTATTTTCTACACAAATTAAAATTATTTTATACACACCTGCACTATTGTTTTACAATAAATTGTAACTATATATGTTATACTAACAGTGTATTTTATTTAGATAAATTTGTTGATTAATTTGAAAGTGTATTTTTTTCTGTATTTTTAATATAGTGTTTTTTTTACTATTATAATGTATACTTTATTTTTTATTGTGCTGTATGTTAGTTGTGAACCATATTTTTCAGTTATATAAAGTGGTAACTTAACTTATAAGTAATATTATATACACTTAGTTCTTCTTTTATTTTTCAAATATTTAAATTATTGTCATATCTTAAAACTATTATAGTTTTATATTTGTATCTTATTTTGTACCCCTCATTAGTTGTACAACATAAAATATTTAAAATATTGGAATTATAAGGTATATGTTACCTTAAAATTGCTATATATTATTTTTTTTGCACATATTATTATTTTAATATAAATAGATATCAAACTAAATAGATATCAAACTTATAATTTCCAATAAATTAAACTATATCATGTAAGTAAAGTAAAAACAATTTCACTTTAAATTGACTCTTCAAAGTGTCATGGTACATCCGCACGAATGACATGCTAACAGACATGTCAGATCCGATCAAAAAATACATAAGAGACAGAGGCCTGAAGCTATATGCGAAAACCAACAGGCTGTCGTACTTAGCACTATTTAATCTCAGAGTAATCACTAACCGTACGAAGCGGTACGCAGATCTTAGATCAGTCATTGAATAATCAGGAAGCTTATGAAGAATACACAAATTAGTCATTGAAATAGGTGGGACTCTGCAGAAACCCCCCAGCTATCAAAGAGTAAAAGTGCACAAATGCACTAACTCGGAAAAGGCTCAACATAATAAATCCGTAAGAATAAAGAGCATTTTAAATTTAATAAAGCTTTCGGATCTAGGTTCCAAAACCACTTATCTACATTAAGAATATTCGGTTATAACACCTGTTAAAGTTTTACCGTTTATAAATTAAATAATAATAAATATATAATATATTATATTATATATATAATATATAAATAATAAATATAAAAAAATAAAATAAACAAATATAAATATATAATATAATAAACAACCATATATACTTCAATAGACAAATTTATCAATGTCCGCATATCTGTTTGCCGATAAATTAATGTTTTTTTTTCTATTGATCGAATGAAACTGCATAAAATCATTGTAGTGACATCTTAGTTTTTATCAGTATCAAAGAGTATCAATATCAAATCAAAATAAAATAAAATAATTGACAGTTCAGATTAGTTTCTATATTAACGAATGTTTTTTTTTTTGTTTTGTAGAAATTGAAATTAGTAGTGATCCTTTTCATATGTATCCTGCATGATAGTTATATAAATTCTATATTTATTTACTTCAAATTTCACTTCAAAAAATGTTTACTTTTGTGTCTATTGATAAAAAAAATTATAGCATTTGAATTGTTCTGAAGAATGCATTAGCAAAGTTTTGGACTGAATTATTTCTTTTAATTTTAATCAATTTACTGTGATTTTTAATACATATAATATAAGTATCTTGGAATTATCATTGACCGCCCCGATAGCAGGTACATATATAATAAAAAAATGTTTGAATTGTATTGTGAAATACTTATTCGATCAGTCTCCGGACTGATGCTTATCTTGTAAGAATCACACTGTATAATATTTATGAACTATATTTACTATATGAAAAAAAAACACAATGGATATTATATTGAAGTATTAGTTCGTTTGAAGAAAAATGCAGCACAAAAAATGTACTGCCTCACCAACAAACCGTATTAACAGATTTTGGCCCCTAGAGATTTCTAACTGATCTCTGATGTCAATAGAGTGCAGCAACACGGAAAGAGTTTTTACTCCAACAATAAAATTACTACTAAAATAAATGTCTACTTTGAAACTGCAGATAAATCTGCAACACAGTTATATATATATATAATATATTTATAATAATTATCTTAATTTACAAATAATTCAAGCTTAAAGACATGCCACCTCTCATTCGAATACCAAAATATCTTCTATTTGGTTAGGGTCAATGTAGTATGAAAGTTTGAGTTAAGCTATAAGTTTAAAGATCCTAAAATTCTGCAGAAAGCGTGAAACTTATGAAACTTATTATGAAACTTATTAGGGATATTCAGACATGCCTGGTAAAATAATGACATTTTGTGTATAATTTTTTTGGTATTCAATAAAACATTAATTTATTCTTATTGTTTTATAAAAATTGAACAGATAGTATTTTTTGTTTTTATTTATCACTATATTAAATAAATATTATTTATGGACAAATTTACATTATTCTTAAGTGAATAGCTAGCTAAACTTAGGCAATAACAAGCAGTGGTTACTTTTATAACTTTAAACTTGAAAATATCATTTCCAACGTTTGTCACTTTACCAAACCGATATACTTACTAAGCTGAATCTGAATATCCCTAATATATTAAAATACAATTAATAAATTTTATAAAATAAATATTAAAAACAATTGAATATCAATTAGAACTTTGTTTTAAAGTAGTAAAGTAAAGTATGCTTGTTTATTGACTAGAAAATCACTTAATATAAATTAAAATTGTGATAAAGAAATTTTATTATTTAAATGACAGTTTTGAATACTGCTAAACAATGAATTATTTTGCCCTTAATATTAAATTTTTTGAGCTTATTAATTATTTTGCTCTGTAATCAATTTTATATATTAATTTTTTGTTAGCAAACGAATGTAAACTAAAATCACAATCAATGTTTTTTTCCTTTGTTTTTCCTCTTAATGCAACGTAAAAAAAAATAAAATAAATAAATTTATAAATTAAATTAATTTATTTTTTTTATATTTTTAGGTCCTAAATTGTACAAACAACCAGCGGCCAAATCGAATAGATCTATAATATTAAATGCAGTGGAGTACTGTGTTTTTCCGGGCGCAGTAAATCGAGACGCAAAACAAAAAGTGCTTGAAAAAATTGCAAGATCGGAAGCAAAACACTTCCTTGTGCTCTTTCGTGATGCCGGCTGTCAGTTTCGCGCCTTATACAGTTATGTCCCAGAAACAGATCAAGTTAGTAAATTATATGGTACCGGCCCAAGTCAAGTGGATGAAGTTATGTTTGATAAATTCTTTAAGTAAGTTTGACCTTAACAATAATTGCAATAAGTGACAGAGTAATTTATTTAACTAATAATTTTGTTTATTCTATATTTTAGATATAACTCAGGTGGTAAATGCTTCTCCCAAGTACATACTAAGCACTTAACAGTTACCATCGATGCATTTACAATACATAACTCACTTTGGCAAGGCAAAAAAGTTCATTTGCCAAGTAAAAAGGATATGGCGTTAGTTATTTAAGTTGTATAGCATAAAAAAAATCGAAACATTTATAGTCAGGCTAAAATATTTTATCCTATATATCCAACGCAAACGTGGATATGTTAAATATTTAACCAATTGGTTTTGCTTTAAAATCCATAGATAAAACTTTTTTATAACGAGACTTAACCTAATAATAAAAAAAGGAACAAATTGAATGATCTGCTTAGCAAATCTTTTGCAGGATAAATTTAAATAATATATTTAAATAATAATAATTGTCACGTAATGTACAATTAATACTCTTAATTTTTTGCAAACAAAAAAAAGTTAAGCTATTTGTATTTATGTAAAGCATATGTTTTTATTTATTATATAAAAAAATATAATAATTAACATTCATAACACAACTCTAAATATATATATATATTCATAGTATATTACTTTTCAATAATGTTTTTTTACAAGAAATCTTTATTGGCAATTTTTTTTATTTATTTTTTATATTGTTTTTAACAAAGTTAACAAAATAAGAACACTAAATTATTTTCAATAATATTGAAATAAAACTGCGCAAATGTTAAAGAATTGTTCTTATTATACTTAATTAATTTGTTCTAAATACATAATGGGTATTAAAACAAAATTATATCAAATTAAAACTAAAGTATTTATATATTTAATATTTTTAATTTTTATATGTTTATTTTAATTTTGTACACTGTTTTAGTGAAAAGAATTTTTTACCCACGCAAAAATTAAAATTAATATAAAACTGCCATCAATATTCAAATATTTCTACCAACGAAATTTATTAGAAAGATTATATTCTTAATATAATTTGCTCTTTTAATTATTTTTAAATGAAAATTCAATTGTTGTCTTCTATATCCATTTTTAATTTACAAAACATCTACCGTTTCAATATAAATAGCATGATTTGTTACTACATAAAATTTTTATATTTATTTAACGTTATCCTATTTAACTCTTTTTAACTTGTGTAAAACGAACAAATTAATTATTAAAATATATTCATTTAAAAATAATATAAAACAATTGAGATGGTATGAGATAGTGAAAAACTTCTCAAATTAACCATATTAATATATTTTACTTGTAATGTATTAAAACTATAAATAAAAGAAAATATCTAACAAGAATGTTATTGTTTTTATTTGTATAATTCATCATCAAGTATCTCTCACATCAATCTTTCCAGGAGATATTACACGAAGGTCTATTGACAACTTTTTTGCAATGCAACCGTGATCTCGAAGAAAATACTGCACCTGTGTATACGACTGTAAGTCCAATTGAATAAGTTTGTATTCAATTTCACTGATGTTGTCCCCATTGTAGTAGATGTCGATGTAAACTTGCTACAAAGAAAGGGATTGCCGCATGCATCTTGAAGGAAGATGCATTGGTACTTTTTTAATTTACTTTTAAGCATGAAATAAACAACGCATATATGTAATCTAGATATATTATTTTATTATACAAAATTTCAATTTATTACATTGATAACGAACTAAAATTAGGTAATTCTAAACAGTTTATGATTTATAATTCGAAATCATCCTGCATATTATTATATTTCATTATGTGTTGTTTTATTTTCGAGCCATCTACCCATGTGATGAAATCTTCTAAATTTCTTGAAACCAAAAATGCAGGATCTTTTATCATTTCGGTACCAACGCGGACATGTCCCTGTTCAATGAGATCTGTAGCGCCTTTTATATACTCCGACATCTTAGCTGAAAAATAAGTGTTTATTAATTATTTTTAAAATAATGGTTTTTTACTTTTAGTTAAAATTAAAATTTAACATTTGTTTTACTAGTTATTGAAAAACTATCATTTTCAATGTTTTTAAAAGCTTAAAATATTGTTATTAATTGTGTTTCGAAAACATTTCAGTTTAAATTATCAATATAATTTTATAAAAGAAAATGTGCAAAAAATCATTCATTTTTTATGGGCGTTTGCACTTCTATCTATAATATTCAAAAAGTGTGTTCGTGTTTTTCCATAAAATTTATCTTATTGATAGTCAAATGTTAAAACTTTACAAAAAACAAAAAATTCGCACACTATGTTGCACTCTATGTTTTATATCTACACCTATTTCAGGCCCCAGATATCATAGAAAAAATACGCAAAATGTGAGCCTCTCATATATTTTAATAACAAATTGAATAATAAGTAATAATATAAAAGCATTTATTATTTAATAAATATTTAATTTGTTTATATTTCAAATTTCAAGCAAATCCATTCAAAAACAACAAAGCTATCGCACATTATGTTTAGACGTATGATTCACAAATGTCCACAATTAGAATCAATTAGCTTTACATACATTATTAAGCACTTTGGTCGTAACACTGCAGATCGCGCATCAGAACCTAAAGTGCGATAACTTCGTTGTTTTTGTAATGTTAATAATATTATTTCTGCATATTTACTTGCTATATAATTTCAATTTCTGCGAGCCTGATACCTACAGTTATGCTAACGTTAAATTTTATACTGATCTTTTTATTTTTATTGATTCCATACTCTGATACTTCCATTAAGTAAAAACGATCATTTTAATAAATATTTCAGATATTAATTATTTTCTTTTATTCTATATATAGTATAGTAATAAGATGGAAAATACTTTTCACATTTTTGTAGATGAAGGCTCATTTTCAAATTTACTAGCTTTTTTGTCATAATTCTCATATGTAGCTGAACTTATTAGTTTTGAATTAAATTTTGATTAAATATAGTAAAGAAATAATATAATAAGGAAATATAGAAGACATGTCTACGAAGAAAATCAATTCTGCGACAAGTGTGTTTACTTTTGATAGGAACATAAGAGGTCGTAAATGTTGGTTAGATGCGGAAGTTCAAGCAATTCGCAGCAGTTGTTCTAAAGTTGTGAGAACAAGTATAGAAGTGAGTTCATCTATTATAAAGAATTTTTCCGATGCAAGAAAATAATATGAACGAGTTCTATTAATTATTTTGAAAAAATTTAATTGTGTTAATTTAATTTTTATTTTTTTTGTTACAGATTTTGAATTTAAACGTGCTTTTCTATTTCTAGTGGGATTAATGCAAGTATGTATGTATGTATGTATATTTATTTTCATTTTAAATTTCATTTTTACAGTATGATTGGTGAATCTTAAATTAATATATAAATAAATATAATTAAAATAGCGACTGTGACACAATGTCGTCCGTCGACTTATAGTATAATAGTAGTATTATAAATAGTTGTATAATAGTGAGTATAAGAATAAACTAGTATATACACGTTATAAATAATAGATGAGCTTTAAAATACATATTAACTAGGTGACCCCGCGAACTTCGTGCCGCGTATCAGTCAATGAATGTTATATTAAATTTTAGGTAAACGTAGTCTTGAACATCTTGACCAATGCATGATGTTCATGAAGTAGTTGCTGCAGATCTTGAAGAATTGCTATTTTCATTGCTGTGTTGTTCCGTCATATTGTCCATGAAGTATACTTGAAAGAATTTATGTTGTGCATCTTCAACAGGTTGCAATGATCTAATTCGATGGTGAATCTGGCCTTGAATCTGAGTCGAAAGCGAAGTCAATATTACAGATTTATAATGCCAATTTTTTTAAAATGTTAACATTTTTTATTTATTTTAGACACAAATACAGGAATATAATAAAACTTTTTCACCTATATTTCATATTTGATCAAATTTTTTATCTTTAATTTCTTAAAGAAAATGAACATTTGCTCTTTTCAACATAAATAACCTTGAACGTCTGATTAAATCCATGTTCTTCGATAATGTCCGCCCCGAATGAAGTCGGGGCGGCTAAAAGCAGCTATTGTTCTTTTGAGTGTTCGCTAGAAAATGTCGTGATTCTGGTGTTTCACCATAAAGCAATGAATGCAATGACTCAGGTGGCGGAGTCAATAATGGCAATTTCACTTTACCATTAAGGCAGCACAATCCCGGCGATTCTCCAGCAAACTTTAATGCTCCGCAATGTTCGCAAGTAACATCCATTGGACCAATGCGAACGAAGGGATGCGAAGTGTAATCATTTGCGCAATCGTATAGAAACGCTGCTCGATACAAATCAATAGTTGAAGCATTTCTTCTTGATCGTCGGATATTTTCTCGTTGTTGATCGGTGTGATAAGCTCGACGATTTCTCATTGCCAACCGAGCCGTTTCACGGACTGCATGCGTAATGGTTCGACGCCTAGTTGCATTACGGCTTTGTTGAGAAGGATTAGACTTTCTGGGTCGCGGCATTGTTAATATTAAACACTCGCACAAAACAAACAAATCGATACTTTCACCTCATATATTGATGACATTATTTATTTATTATATTTGAATTTATTATATTTGAAATTTGAAATATTTGAAAAAAAAAAATTAAAAAGAAATCAATATCACTCAAACTGTCGAACTGTTGAACTGTCAACAGTTTGAAACAGCATTTACAAATTTATTATTTTTGCTAAAATTAGTGAATTTTTCCAATATTTTATGATGTACCATATTCTGCTATTCGGAACGGAGACGATTCCAACAAATCAAAGTTAATTAAAATCGGTCCAGCCGTTCTTGAGTTATAAGTGGTCTAACTAACACAACTTTCTTTTATGTATATAGATTATTATATTCTGATATTAAATAAGACCAGTATGCTATACAATTTTTTGCATTTTCTGCTACTTTTACCCATTCTACCTCAGAACCGTTTAAAACATTTATAATGTTTTCATAAGATAGAATACTCTTGTAGAATAGAACAACGGCCAAGAAAATGTACAATATCTTCAGCCTCATCTGAATTACACATCTACAGAACGCAGATCTATTTAGAAGGGTGAACCGATACCCTTCTAAATTTGAAGTTCAGAGTCAGTGTTCATTTGGGTCAATTGGCTAATGAAGCACACTTGACACTAAATTATTTTTCTTCGCAGACATGTCTTCTATATTTCCTTATTCATGTATTTCCTTATCCTTATTAATTCAAAATTAATAAGTTTAGCTACATATGAGAATTATGACAAAAAAGCTATATATAGACTATACTATACTATATATAGAATAAAACAAAAGAATTAATATCTGAAATATTTATTAAAATGATCGTTTTTACTTAATGGAAGTATCAGAGTATGGAATCGATAAAAATATATAGTTCAGTATAAAATTTAACGTTAGCATAACTATAGGTACCAGGCTCACAGAAATTGAAATTATATAGCAAGTAAATATGCAGAAATAATATTATTAACAATATTATTAACATTAACACAAATTCATTAAAATTTAATAAAATAGCTAATAACTTAAGAACTAATGGGTGGATCACTCCCGCCTTTTGTATGAAGTTGTATTATTATATATGTAATAAATATATATAGTTTAATAAAAGCAACAATTTTTCTAACAATAATAAACAATATGTTATAAAAATTTTGCATGGGGAATGGGTGTTATAGTGGGCAAAATATCATGAAACTTTTTGTACAACCAGGTATTGTTCGTGAGCTCAACCACCTGAAAGTTAATAAAATGTTTGCGTATCTTATTATAAATCATTATAATAATAAAGGCAGCGTCGCCAAACGCTATGGGAGTGGGCGAAAAATAACAGCAACATTACATAAAATGGTTCAGAAAGTGAAAGCTCGACTTAAACGAAATCCACGTGGTAATGGTATTCAAATGGTCAAATAAATGAAGATATTCTAGCGAAGCATCCGACTCATATTCCAAAATGAGCTCAAGATAAAGCCAAAAGGCACAAGATCTTTTGCCGAAGCGACAAAAAGTTAGACTCGAAATAGCAAAGGAGTTATTATGCGTGTACAAATATGCGAACGCTGTGTTCTCTGATGAGAAAAATGTTCCCATTGAGTAGTTCATAAACACTCAAAATATTTGTGTTTACTTAACTGAACGCATTGCCGAAAATTTGAGACTACGAATGGCCACCCGAAGTAATTTTCCATCTCTAGCGATAGTATAGGCAACTGGAAACACCAATCGAAGCTCTCCAATCGTTTTAATCAAGCCTGGTGTCAACGCGACATATTATCGGGGAAAATGTTTTGGTAATTGTTTTAGTACCGTGGGCACGCAAACATAAATATACGTTCATGAACCATAGACGTTTCAACAAAACTCGGCACCGTCTCATAAAGCTCGTGAGAACCATGAATAGTTAAAATATCATATTCCACACATCCATCTCGCCCATTTTGGAGCGCAAGGTGAGGACTAAAAAATATGTCACTATAGATATGCTGAAGAAAGCCATTCTTCAGGAATTAGCCAAAATACCGAAAGATCACATTCGTGAAGCATGCAACATCGAGCTAGAGTGAATGAATACTGAAATTTTGATTATTTCCACAAATTTTTATAATTTCAATCAATAAAAAGTAATATTCACACAAAAAAGAAATGGTTGCTTGAATAGGTAACACTTCAATATTGCAAAATTAGGCAAAGTCAAGAGGGCCTTTTTAATCCAGAAAGTAAAAAGGGCGACAAACAATTTTATTGCTAATAAATGAAGATTTCTATTGCCAAAAAATAGAGTTACATGATTCTTAGGTCAAAAAGTTTGAACTCAATTCTAAACTTATTGACTTAATTCTAAAGCCAACGAAGGATAATCTGCCTGAAAGATAGTTATAGAACTACCATTTTGTCGACTCGGCGTGTGTGTGTAGGTGAGTGAGTAAGGAGCTATGTTAAACTGTATAAAATGCCTTTACCAGATCAAGGCGTAGAAGTACCGTATGTTCGCATGGTCGACTTTGGTTGAGGCCACTATAGATTTGAAATGTGATGTTACACAAGACTGAGGTGGTGCTATGACATTTAATGTTTAGCGACATCTATTGTTAAAAAGTGCTAATTTTCCCCTTTTTAAAAGTTCTCTACGTTTTCATATCAGCTTCGATATGAACCTCGATAGATAAAATAAAATGAATAGAGTTTAGAAGGTTAAAAAACCAATGATAGTGTCCATTCAAATGTCCCAACGCAAAATGCGAATCACCGCCTAAAAGGTGAGATATATCTAGGGTGTGCTGCAGAGTGCAGCTAGAGTTGGGAGATAGGTAAATATATATTATTTTTATTATTTTGAGTCTTACCTATAAAAATGTTTAATCCCATAACATTTAAACAAAGTAAACACGCTGTGAGGGATTGTAAAAAAAAGTCACTTCACCTCGAGCACTTCTTGGGCGGTACTAATGAAAAAGGGAAAAACGTGAGATGGAAGGGGGTGGAAAGTGGAGTTAGACAATAGTTAAGCCCCAGTAAATTGCCCAGTTTACCTTGCAACTATCAGTTCTTTTTTTCTTAGTAGACATAGTGTTATAGTGCAACATAGATAACATCAGTAAAGTCAAATATCTGTAAATGGTTATTGATCAAAATCTAGATTTGAGAGATATCTTTTATTTGATTTAAATTTAAATAAAGTAGAAGATTTACATTTGATGGCTGTGCAGTTTCGTTATTAATATTTTGATAATGGCATATAGTTGGGCATACATCTATACTGACCGATGTGTTAAATAATTTATATGGTTTATATTTAGACAAGGTATTTAATTTGATGGAGAAATCAGTTATGTACAGAAACATTTATATTAAGTTACGCAATAAAATGTACTTTATCTTATATGTACTATATCCGACAGACGTTACTTAAAATTATGTGGTGATATTTTTAAATACGAATAATACGAATTCGTATTTAAAAAATTTCCTCAACTCCCAACTATATTTTTGTTTATTTCTGCTGTACACTTTTTGCTCGCCCCATAGCATCCCATTATCCCAAGTATGCCATTATTTTATGTGATTGGTTTTGCAAATCTGCGTGTATCAAAACAATAACAGCAACCAGTTGTCGCTTTGTTCAATAACCCACAAGACATATAACTCTACCTGCATTCTTATTGTTTCAATCCTCAATCCACTTAATACACTTTCATTACCTTTATAGACACTTTTCTTAAATATAATGACTACCGTAAATAAAATATTCCGGAGCAAGTGATGCAATTACATTCCCAAATCGAATTTTTGTCTCACATTAACATAAGAATCCATCGAATGGTAACGTTTGTTGTTCACGCAATTTGGTAACAACCATAGTGTGAAAATTTCAGAAATTGCAATGTTTATGAATCTAAACTTTTTTAGTTACTATGATAAATTTGTTATTCAAAGGGTATCAAGGGTATACTGCTCTATTTGTAAGATTTGAATACCTAATTTCATAAACATTCAAATATTAATAAAAATGTACAGTACTTACTTTTCACCATTACAACTGGTAATCGCCTACGACAAAATGCGCTAGCCGAAACTTTACTCCCCGTTTCTAAATCTGTTGAATTGACAACTCCCATACTATATAGCTTTCTCATAAGCATCTCTTCTGCTTCACTTTTAAAAGGGTCACTTTTATCTAACTTAGCAATTTTTTCTACAAGTTCACGTACATCTCTGGACAACTTATTATACCTTTGAAAAAATTTTATGTTATAAAGATCATTACTAATAATTTTATTATTCATACTTTGTGTAATCCTCCCGTTTCTTTATGTGATATTTACGAAGTATAGCATTCTCTTTTCCATAGTTATCAACTTTCCATGAAATAAAATCAACTTTTTTTAATAATTTTTGTTCGTGATATTTTAATTTCCGCACCATGTTTTACTTTTGTTTACAAATATTGAATGCACGCGTTTGAACTTCTGTCAATTATGTTATTTGACTTCAATACGAGTGGAACAAAAATAACAATGGAACAACATCACGACATAGTACAATAATACCAAGCTTAGTTAGATGTTACAGTTTGTATATGAAAAATATATATTACATATCTTACTTAGTTGCCAACATATTGCGCTTAGCTTTTTTATTTCAACTAAGTCTCAATTATAATAGCAAAATTTGCATGTATGTCATGCAGACTGATGGAAATCAAAATATATTGATTTTTTGACAGTTTCGTTCTTAATTGGATTTTTTCGATATCTATACAAATTTTATTGTGATTTAGATTATAGAACTGAAATTTCAAGGCATTAAAAAAGTTCTTTCATTATTATACATACATTATGTCAAGAAAAAATTTTTAATGTTATAAATAAAAAGTTTAATTATAAAAAGTTAATTATAAATTAATTATGTTTTAAAAATGTACCAATTTATTTTATTATTAATTGTCGAATTCAAAATAAATATGCAATATTAGGCCTTTTCGTCGGCTCGCCAGTATGGCAAAAAACAGCAAATTGCGTTCCTATACTGGCTGAAATGTACGCAAAACAACAACACTATTTTCTCCATATAGGCCAGTAGTTGTTTACTGGCCAAACACTTCGACCAGTAAAGAAAAAAGTTTCACCAACACAATAAGCGAACTATTGTGAACCTTCATTGGAAATTCCAATGAATATTGCAATCATATTGAAACAAAAATTTAAACAAAATTTAAAAATTTCATTAAAAATTGGAAAAAAAGCAAATAATTTAAAACTATATAAAAATCTTGAAAAGTAATGGAGAAATCGTAAGTACAAAGCACATTAAATGTTTTAATATGTTAATTATTAACATGGAACATATCCAAACAAAACAATTGATAGATTGCAATAGTGATGCCAATGACTCGCTCAGTGAATATAGACCAGCATGTGTTTTTTGCCATACTTGCGAGCCACCGAAAACGCCTATTATTAACCCTTAAATTTACTCACAGATACCTGCTTAACAAGTGAAGTGTGTAAGTTACCTTAATCCCGTAATCTTTTAGTAATTGCGTTATCTATTATAATAGTTTCAAAAATTTTCAACAATTTTGCTGCGACTGTGTGCACATAGCCTAATATTTTAGAAGGTATGTTTAAACTTCAAATTAAAAAAATAAATATGTTGTTTCTGCAATAGTAAAAAAGGAAATTGTTTTGTTTTTATTTAATATATGGTTTAAATTCTTTAATGGGGTTATAATGGAAGATGAATTAGTAAGAAAAATTGTTGGAGATGAAGATCCATTAACAGAAGAACGTATGGGAAATGTTCGTGAAGTAGGTAGTCAAGCAGTGTGGAGTCTTTCATCTTGCAAGCCAGGTAAACCTTCCAAACGTGTCTTAAATATATTAATACAAATCATTATGAATGATACCAATTTAGAATATTTTTATTATTAATATTTTTATTTAATAATTTTTAAGGTTTCGGAGTGGAGCGTTTACGAGATAATATCACTGACACTTATTGGCAATCTGATGGACAGTTGCCACACTTAGTCAATATACAATTTCATCGCAAAACAAACATAAGCCAAATATACATTTACACAGATTATAAATTAGATGAGAGTTATACGCCTTCC